GTTTGTTTGGAGACTCACAGGCTGTTTGAACGGGATGGAGATGGTTTCTTCATCTCTAGGAGTAAAAATTGTCCATCAGAAAGCACACTGCAAGAGTTCACATATCCCTGGATTTACTGGTCATCTGCTGCCCTTCAGCTGCTGCTGGCAAAACCATCTCAGCTATAGAGCAGATGGGTTTCCCTCTACTGTCAGTGTTGCTACCCTGCCCTGCCCTATAGGGGTCCCTTTCAGCTCCCTGTCTTCCTGCAGCTATACAGTAACTCTGGCACATTTTCTGCTTTCTGTTTTTCAGCCTAGCTCTCACCTCCTCAAGTGTTTTGGGGCCACCAGACGAAAACACTGGCACAGAAATGTAAATGTGCTTGTCTTCAACGGTAAGTGCACTCCCATCGCTATAGAAATGTGAAACTATACAGCTTATTTTAATTTAATGATGTAAAGTGCCTTACATGACTATAAACAGAATATACTGCACATACTGGCTATATGAGCCTTGCCACTTTAGTTAACAGTATCTTTTACGTCATGACAGCTGTATTCGCACCGTTTCAGGGGACAGTCTGTCCACTGTCACATAGGGAAGAAACAATTCAGCTGCAATGTGACCTAGAAGTAACAGGTATATGTAATCATAGAATCCCAGAATGGTTTGGGTTGGAAGGGACCTTCAGACTCATCCAGTTCCAACCCCCTGCCATGGGCAGGGACACCTTCCACTAGAGCAGGTTGTTCAGGGCCAATATGAAATGGAAAATGGAGAAACTGCTGCAAGAAGGGGGATAGGATGACTGGGACGGTTCTGATCAGAGGTGGCTGCCCGAGGTCGCTGAAATTCACTACATGCACTGAAAAACTTGAATCTTGATCTCAGTTGGCAGAGTGGTCTTGGCCATGCTGCATACTGTGGTAGGGAACTGCACTGACTTAATCACGTCTGTACTGAGGTATTATCCTTCTGTTACAGAAAAGGGTTTAGGTGAACTACAACTTGAAGTTAGGATGCCGGGCTCCCTTCTGCTCTCCTCACACATCTTTTCCATAACCGTTTACCTTGATCTTTACAAGAGTTTTGCATACAATCAGCTTCATTTTTCCTTCCCAATTGCTCTCATTCAGCTGACACCTTAGAAATTAGGCCAGCTCTGTGCAACCCCCATCCTAAAGGCTCTCTTTGCGTATGTCAATTTTACCACATAACATTTTTAAAGCCAAGCAAAAACAATTCACAAGGACTGGTGGGGGGCATTCAACACAAATCAGAGGAGGCACTACCTGAAATCTCTTCCTGCCTTTCACTGCATCTCAAGTTGGCGATGTCTCTGTAAAGGCAGTTTCAATTGAAAACTGTAATTAAATTGAATCTTCATCTGCAAACAGGGCTGGGTATTTCTTTCCAGTGGCAGAGCAGCAGGACATTTACAATAAGGTGTGTTTTGAGCTACTACCACCGGGAGTGCATAGAAACCAGGAGGACAAAACTTCCTGCATGTCAGTCAAAGCTACAGTCGTTTCCAGTGGGGCATAAGCCTTATGGAAAGATACGGGTCTGTCTTTAAGACATAACACAGTGCAGACTTAGGAGACTTGGTTTCATCTGTGGCTGCTTTCCTGGATGATGTCGGACTATCTCTGTTCCCCAGTTTACCCATCTGCAATATGGGGACAGTGTTGCTGGCCCCTGAGTGTAAGGCCCTGTCTGATCTGCTCATGCAAAAAGCTGTAGCAGAGTGAGTGGTTTCAAAGGTCAGAACAGCTCAAACCACAGCATCAGCTTAAAACCTGGAAATGAGTCAAAAAATTAAAAGACGAGATTTTCACTCATGTTTGATAAAGATACACGAGTGTTCTATGTTTATGCAGTCACCATTAACAAACGTATGGAATATAATTTATAGATGTATATACTACATGCATTGTACGTTTATAAATACACGTCAATGCATTCTATAAAGCATTTCTTCTTCTCCATCATGTGGAAAGCCGCACAAACTGGAGCGCTGCTCACTAGGATGTGATCCCGCAGGATGGTCCGTGTCACTGTATCTCTCACATGCACATGCAGATGCCCACAGATTGCTCCTGACAGCATGAGAGTGTAAGTGCCTCATCCAAGAGGAAGGGAGCTGACACAAAGCAAATGAAGCAAAAATGTCCCCTTTAAAGCTCCCAGTGTCTCCCGCTCACTTTCCTCTCTAGGGCTTGCACATGGTTGCAAAACAGTAGCAGTGTCATTGAGAGGCAGTCTCGGAGTCATCACTGTTTCCAACTGTCCCATCTGTAACTTCTGGACCAAAACATTCCAAAGCACTTCACAGGCTTCGCTTTGTTTCCGAGCATCCCTGCAAAGAGACAAAAGTAAATGACTGACTAAATGCAAGGGATTCAAATGATACCAAGTAATTTATTAGGGAAAGAGCCAGCAGTGTCATGCTGGAATACTCACAGATGGAAATGAAGAAGCAAGGAGGTGACCAGTGAATACACCAGAACAAGGGGTGGCAGAGGGTGTATTTGCCAGTTCTTGAGATCTCCATAATGACTTTTCTTTATTTTCAGGTAAATAAACTTGAACTAAGCAGGTTTCAACCTCACTTATAAACACTCCATTCCACATTATGGAGGATGCCAGATTCTGAGACCAAACTTGCTTCTAATTCCTGTACCAGTACACTATCTGGCTCAAAATCTCCACATTAAACCGAAACTAAGCCTATCCCACCAACTTGGATAATTAAGGTCTGGTTATTATTTTGTAAGATAGCAGCCACAATTCAAAGTTCAACCTGGAAACAGGCATTCATAACTGAGGAATTGGATGGACATCCGTTTGGCTGTTGTGACTTTAAGATACTTGATAAAAGTGATTCATTAGAGTCCTAATGGGGTTCTCTTCTAACGACTGAGAAAGTTGGGGCTGTTCAGCCTGGAAAAGAGAAGGCTGCGTGGAGACCTCAGAGCAGCTTCCAGTATCTGAAGAGGGCTGATAAGGATGCTGGAGAGGGATGCCTCATTAGGGACTGTAGTGACAGGACAAGGGGTAACGGGTTCAAACTGAAACAGGGAAAGTTGAGATTGGATCTAAGGAAGAAGTTCTTTCCTGTTAGGGTGGTGAGGCACTGGAATGGGTTGCCCAGGGAGGCTGTGAATGCTCCATCCCTGGCAGCGTTCAAGGCCAGGTTGGACAAAGCCTTGGGTGGCATGGTTTAGTGGGAGGTGCCGCTGCCCATGGCAGGGGGGTTGGAACTGGATGACCTTAAGGTCCTTTCCAACCCAAACCATTCTATGATTCTATGACTCCAGCTGCTGAACAAAGGTATGCTGCCTTCTACCACACTCACACCAAATTTTCTTAAGCATTAGCTTTCCTGGAAAGGCCACACATTCAAGGCAAAGCCTCCTGGTAAAAGCTATGGTGTTTGGGGAGATAATGACACAGCAGTCCTGGGTCAGAAAGGAATGAACCAGCAGGATGATCCAAGACCTCTGTCACTTCTGCAATTCTTTCATTTCTAAACCAGCCCAACTTAGAAAAACATAGAATTCATAGAATCATGGAACGTTTTGGGTTGGAAGGGACCTTAAAGCTAATCCAGTTCCAACCCCATGCCATGGGCAGGGACACCTTCCACTAGAGCAGCTTGCTCCAAGCCCCTGTGTCCAACCTGGCCTTGAACACTGCCAGGGATGGGGCAGCCACAGCTTCTCTGGGCACCCTGTGCCAGCGCCTCAGCACCCTCACAGGGAAGAGCTTCTGCCTTATCTCCAACCTGAACTTGCCCTGTTTCAGTCTGAACCCATCACCCCTTGTCCTATGGCTGCAGTCCCTGATGAAGAGTCCCTCCCCAGCATCCTTGCAGCCCCCTTCAGACACTGGAAGCTGCTCTGAGGTCTCCACGCAGCTTCTCTTCTCCAGGCTGAACAGCCCCAATGTTCTCAGCCTGTCTCCACATGGGAGGTGCTCCAGCCTCTGAGCATCCTCGTGGCTGCTTCTGGACTTGCTCCAACAGCTCTCAATTCATTAGTCTCTAACAAGACCTGGACAGAGCAATAGCACATACCAGAAGACATTTGTTGCTTTGCTGCTCTTTGTAAGCGGCGGGAGGCTTCAGGAGGTTTTCAGCTAAGCCACCCTGGCAGCTTGCTGCTGCAGCAGCTCCCTTGGACCTCACCAAAATGGCAGGAAACAAACCCAAACAGGGAGAGGGAAGAGCCTCCTGCCTTGGTGAGCTGCACCAGCTCGGCGGGGCAGGGAGGAGAGAGCAAGGTCTCCCTCTTCTGACAGCAAGCGGGCGACTGAGCCAGGCAGGACCTCACCGTGGCTTCAGGGCTCCCGTTGCTCATCACTTAATCGGTGCCACAGCGTTGTTAAAAGGCACCGCGACAAGCCCATAGAATTACTCTGAGGTTTGAAACTGTAAATAGTGATACGGTTTGTGACTCAAAACCAGGCAGCTTGATACTCAAAGCCTTGAAGATTAGAAGGAGGCTCAGGAAAACCGAGAACATAAATTAAGGCTTTGTGCTTTTGATGGAGACCAGCTGATGAATCGCAGGGTACACACAAAGAATGCAGTGCGGCTGTAGCCAGCCCCCCGGTTCTCTTGAGGTGTTGACCAAAGCTAAACGAACTACTTGACTTCATTCAGAAGAGTTTTGCGTAGCTAAACTTGTTACAGCAGAGGAAGATGGGTCCAGCTTGTAGTATGTGAAAAGGCTGCTTGAGAATGACTCTTTGTTTGAATTTTAATGGGACATTTGCTTCTGTTTTGAGAGTTACAGACCAAACCTGAGCATTTCGGGTAAACCACGTCACACCTGGCCAATTCCATATAGAATGGTTTGTACTGATAAGCTGGGCAAGTCCAGAAGCTGAGACAGACCTAGAAGGGCTGCGTTAAACCCCACTGCTTATTTTCAAAGGTAATTTTGGAAATCAGAGGCAATCTGGGCTATTCTGGGTTCCAGACTAGACACAAAAAAACAAACAGAGGCAAGGCACATGTTGAGTTGTGGTTTTAATTCTATTTTCAACCTCGTTTCTATGACTTAGGACTCCAGCAAGCAAACAAGCCAACCACCGAATCCCAGACTCAGCATAGCCTTTGCACAGCTCAGCACGGTTACAGTATCTGAATGGTATTTTTCACTTAAGTAAAACTAAGATGAGAAAATGGCTAGCTGGCTGGGAAAAGAAAAAAACACCACCAAAACCCTTTCTTTCTCTTGATATTTTAAGCAACTGAGACCTCTGCTGTAGCACAAAGGAGTTTAGTAGCCGGTGGGTGACATCATACTTGTTCACTCTTGCTCTGATCTACACTGCAAATCAAAGCAATCTCATAAAAGGTTAAATTATTAAGAGCAGTGGCCCGGTGGAAGTGCCATGCAGCCAGGAAACCAGGATGACCATAAAAAGAAAACGAAGCTGCTGGTAACCATTATAATGCAAGGCTGAATCAGAAACGCTAAAACCAAAGCCCTATTTCTGTTCTTGAGAGTGCTGTTGGCTTTTTTCTCCCCTCTCTGAAGGCAGAAGCAGGCCCCGTAACCACCCGTTTCGGTTTCTCTCTTCCCAGACACGGCTTCTTATGCTAACTTGTCATTGCCCGTGAGCTTGAACAGAGCACTGCGTAAGCTGTATGCATCACATAGCTGCTCCCAAGATGCAAAATCCTTCCCCGCAAGGGAACATTTTGGTGCAATCTAATGCGAATGCTGAGCTCCAGGGAGGCAGGACCGATGAGGAGTGTCACCGTGCCGTTTCTGTAGAATCAAAGACGAAAGAAAAGGGTGATTTAAGACAACCAGCGGCAAAGCTCCGTGACCACAGCAGCAAGTTCCTACAGGGCTCGCTCTATTACAGAATCAACTTCCACATTCACGCGAGGCGCAGGAGCCGAGGCCGCGGGCAGCGAGGAAGCTCGTACCCCTCACTGGGCCGAGCCATTGCCTCACCGAGCCGAGTTCTTTCCCGCACCGAGCCGAGCCCTTTCCCGCACCGGGCCGAGCCCTTTCCCGCACCGAGCCGAGCCCTTCCCGCACCGGGCAGAGCCCTTCCCGTTGAGACCGCGCCTCCACCGCAGCGCCCACTGTCCGGCTCCGGCGCCCCGGCGCTGAGGGAGACCCCTCGGCAGCAGCGGGGAGCCCTCCCCGTCCTCCTCCTTCTCGCCCCCATCCCCTCCGCGGCGGGATCCCCCCCCCCCCATCCCCAGCGCCCCGCGGCATGCGGGAGCCCCCGGCCGCCCCTCGCCCGCCTCCCTCCGACTCGCGGCTCCGGCCGCCGCTGACAGGTCTCCGCCGGCGGCCCCGGCACCTGCGCTGCGCTCCCCGCGCTGAGAGGAGGAGCCGCCGGCGGAGCGGGAGGGAAGCGGCGGCAGGCGCAGGGCCGGCGGCGGGCCCACGGGGTGGCGGGTGCCCCTCAGCCCTCAGCCCGGCCGCCGCGCCGCCGACACCTTACTTCCTGCTTCGCTACCAGACCCATCGCGGCGGAGGGATCCCGCCGCCTCCCGCAGCCTCCTCCCCCTTCTGCTTCTGCTTCCCCCCTTCCCTCTCCCCTGCGAGGGAATAATTTGACAGCGATTTGCTGACACCGGGGGTTGGTTTGGTTTTTTTTTTTACCCTTCTTTTTCTTTCCCTTCCCCGCACCGCGGACCCGCAAAGGCAGCGCGGCGGCGCGGGGAGGCCGCGCCGAGGTAAGTGCCTCTGCCCGGAGCCTCCCCCTGCGCCGTGCGGGGTGCGGCGGCGCCCGCTCCGCTCCGCTCCATGTGCCGCCGCCCCGGGGTGGGAGCGGGCAGCGGGGCCGCGCCGCGCCGGGCCGGGCCGGGGGGGAGTATGTTTCCTGGCGGAGCGATATTTGTTTACAGGATGAGCGCCGCACTGTAAGTGCAGTAAGGACCGAGCCCGGGCAGCTCTGTCATAAATTCATATCGCGATTGCGCCCTGCTCGCCGACACACGCCCCGCGCCTGCACTTGTTGCAAGGCTTCCACGCCAGGTAGGGCGAACGCTTCGCAAGTTTCGGTTTTGCAGGAGCCGGGGCTGCGCTGGGAGGGAGGGGATTAAAAAAAAAAAGAGAGAAAAGGGGTAAAATAGAAAGTTTGCAGTTTGCGGCTCACTTTCGGTCCGCAGCGCCCGGGAGGCGAGGCCCTGCTGCTGCCGCCTCCTCCTCCTCCGCCGCCGCCGCCGCGGGGTGCCCGGTACCTGCGCGGCCCGGGCGGGAGGATGCAGGGTGCGGGTCCCGGCGCGCCCCGCCGCGGCGCTGCTCCCGCTCCCGGCCGATTGAGCGCAGGGGAGGCGGGGAAGGGCGGCTGGGCGCGGAAGTTGTGTCCCAGCCGTGGTCCCCTCGGCCCGGCCCCGGCGGCGAGGAGCAGAGGCGGGCGCGACCGCTGCGCTCGGCGTCGGTGTTGGGGATGAGGCGGCCCCCGGCTCCCTTCCATGCGGCCGCGGGAGAACTTGGTCTGGATGAACGCGGGTGTCTGCGCCCGGTGGGTGCTGGTGGGTGCGGGAGGGCTTTGCTTTGTGGCCCGTCGAAACGGGGGGAGTAAGGGGGGAACGAACAGCAGCAACTCTTGGCCAGGTGTTTAAATACCAAAGAGGTGATTTGCATGTCAGATTAACTGGCAGTTCACCAGTTAATAAATGGATAATGCCTACTCATCCTTCTGCTGACTTTACAGAGTGGTTTTCGCGGCTGCCCCACAACTAGACAGGCTTGGCTGTCCGAGATGGGAACTTGGCGGGCTCCGGGGGAATCTGACCTGTGCTGGCTGTCCTAGTGCATCAGCCCTGGTCGTGCTTCAGGTAGCTCCTGCTGAGGCTTATAGGTGTTTGCAGCCTGATACGATAGCGGCAAAATAGACACGATGACCCGTAACTAAGCTATTGATGGAAAACGACACAAAGTGCTTCACACCGTGCTGAATGTTTTGGGCAGGTAATCGCTGGGGGAGAAGTTGTGTCTCTTTGACAGCTATAGTTTAACTGTAAGTATGGGAGGAAGAGGGGAGAGCTCGCCCAGCGAGCTTGAGCCCGGGCTGCCCTGCTGCCCGGACCCGCAAGCTCCCCGGACCTGCACAGTGTAGGATGGTGTGACCCGACCTTCCAGTGTTGGTGTATGTGCAAACCCTTTCTTGTTTGGATGTTAACTGGGATCAGAATGGAGCCGTTTCCTTAACGCATCTACCTAGAAATAGCCCACTGCGCTTTGTTGAAGTGACAGGCCGTGGTGTGCCCTGGTTGGTATGTTGCCTTTTTCCCTAAGGCTTGTCCAAGGCACGTGTTTAACAACAAAGGTGCTGCTTCTCCGATGCTGTGTCCACGCATGCGCATCGTGGAAGTTAAGCTATGCTGTTGTGCTTAAAACAAATAAATGTTTTAAGGACATAAGAAACTGCATGCAGTTTTGGTGTCCCCAACATCAGGACCATGTGGAGCTGTTGGAGCAAGTCCAGAGGAGGCCAGGAAGACAATCAGGGGCTGCAGCACTTCCGCCTGAAGCGGGCCTACAAGGATGCTGGAGAGGGACCCTTCACCAGGGACTGCAGCGACAGGACAAGGGGTGATGGGTTCAAAGTGAAACAGGGCGAGCTCAGGTTAGATCTAAGGCAGAAGCTCTTCCCTGTGAGGGTGCTGAGGCGCTGGCACAGGGTGCCCAGAGAAGCTGTGGCTGCCCCATCCCTGGCAGTGTTCAAGGCCAGGCTGGACACAGGGGCTTGGAGCAGCCTGGTCTAGAGGAAGGTGTCCCTGCCTGTGGCAGGGGGTTGGAACTGGATGAGCTTTAAGGCCCCTTCCAACCCAAATCAGTCTGGGATTCTGTGATTAAATGTATTTGTTTGAAATTTAGATAAGTGATTTTTCATAGAAAGAAAATGTGTTGTCTGCATTTGTCTTCTGTAACTGATACTCTGATACAGTTTGGAAAAAAATAAGGCTTAATTATACCCTCCTCAAAAGTTCTGGCACAAATCAACACTTTCAGGATCTGTTCTGCCACCACTTACAAGTGCCTTGTGTTTCTAAAGCTGGGAGGCTCCAGAATGGATCGGAGCAGCACTGCCGGCATGGCAGTCAAACCAGCGGTTCCTGAAGAGCCAAGAACGCTCTAGTTCCTGCACTTCACTGTGGAAGCTGGCCTGAGTGAGGAGTACAGAACCGGCCTCTTGGTGAACTAAGGCCAGAGCTTAATCATGCTGCTATCAGTGCATGTCCTGCTGCTGGCATCCCGCCGTGGGAGAGAGGAAAGAGGCCAGGAGGTAGCTGGGTAGGCATCCTGCCTCCAGTGTTTGCATCACCCCTGCTTGGCCCAGCAGGAGCATAAATAAACCACAGTGTGAGTAACCTCTGCCATTGACTCACGTTGTATTGGACAGACCAAAAAGGTCTCCATGTCTTATCCACTTAACATTTCTCAGCGTTCACATTACCACTTATGCCCTGTCTCTGAGAACACTCCACTCTGCGCTTAAGCCACAAATGAGTCCTTGCGTCGGGTTTGTTTCGCTTTTGGGTAGCGCTCAACTGCTCTAGGTAGGTAAAAGGAATTCCCAGATTTTAAACTCCAAACTTGATTACTTCTTTTGTGCCGGCCATTTGAATTCTCCCAGTGGTACGGTGAGGCTTGCCATCGTAAGTTGAGCTTTTAGCTTGGGCTTTGGCAGCGAGTGTGACGAAAGCATAAGAAGAGCAGTCCTGTCATAGCCGGTAGGTTTCCTAAAGCAGTAAGCTAATGTTTTGCTCTGAGTGTTTTCATTGTATTCTAATCTGGTTTTGTTTGCTCTAACCAAATGAGGAATGTGGCACTTGAACGCTTACTCAGCACAGTGCTCAGGAAGGCTCTTCTCTTCCAGTACTGCAATGGGACAGTAGTAAACTGAAGCAGGAGGGCTCTGCAATCCGTGATGGCATCGTGAGATTCTGGGAGGTTGTTCTCACATTATTATGCTGTGTCATCGTAATTTGCAAGATAAGGCAGTTTCATTTGTGAAAATAAGCGTAGAAATACATTTATTTAGAAAAAAGCAAGCAACAGTTAATAGAGATAAAATAACTGTTGATATGGAAACAGGCTTTTTTCTCCCCTTGTGGTTTTTTTTTTGTGGGGGGCTGCATAGCTTCCAGTGAAAAATTACCATCAGAACTGTATGTTTTCCTGTCTCCCTAAAATTAAGGGATCTTTCTGCCTCTCTTCCACCTGTAAGCTGTAGCAGAAGCATCCTTGAGTGCAGGTGTGAATTCTGCCGTGCACTGGGCTATTTACGTGGCCTGGCTTCACGGCACTGCTTAGAAGAGCAGATTTACTCTACTCACAGAGTTACTGTGCTTACACTTCTGCAAGTGTTAAGTATTTGTAGGGTGGGGTGTGAGGAGGCTGCCCTTGGAACTCAAATAAAAAAAGGAGGCAGCATTTGGAGTTCTAAAACCTCTTCTCAACTTGTCTGGCTCTGAGAAACCTATTATTGTAATCAGTTGCGGGGCTGGGAGGGGAAATGGGGCCTTCTAAGATAAAAACAAAAATAGCACATTCAAATATATTTTAAGAAAAGCGGCTCTTCCTTCAAAGAGTAGGGCTGAGCGTGGCTCAAAGGGAGGTAGCAACAATTTTATCAGCGTGGGTTTGCTCTTTGACTTTCAGCTTGAAACCAAACAGATTTAAGAAAATCCATTGTACTTGCTTCTGAGCATCTGCGTGCCAAGTGATCTTGTGGAGTTGGGGGTGCGGGGTGAATCTCCTCAGACTCGGAGATGCTGAGAACAGGACTGTGCGCCATCCCCTCCTCGCTGCTGCCATCGTGTCTCCGGGTAGCGCGTGGTCCGGCGCGGCCGGGAGGACGATGTAGGGAACGCGGTGTGTTGTCGGGTTGCATTGGCGTTGGTTCCTGTTGGATATTGGTTTCTGTGGGCAGAAGGAAGAGTATTTGTGGCAGCAGTTCATTTTCTCTCTCTCCGCCTTGGCCGTGTTGCTCCGTGGTGGCGCGGGCTCATGTGGCCCTGCTCGAAACAGCGGCAGAAACTAAAAAGACATTGATTTGTGTGGGGAAAACCTGGTTATTGTGCTCAGGTTACAACCTGCTGCTGCAGAAACTCCAGGGCAAATGCATCATTGATGTGACTCTCTTCTGGAGAGGATAATGGTTTGGGGAACCCAGCACATGCTTTGTGTTACCCTGTAATAGGGATTGTAAAAGGAGTTTAAACTCTTCATATTAAGAGCGGGGATGTTGCAGGGGTTTGGAGGAGTTGTGTAGTGCTGGGTATATTTTGAGGTTCGGAGTGAAATGAGTCTTGTGGTTTCAGCTTACTGTATAACAAAGAGTAACGTGTTTCACACAAACAGCCCACCTAAGTTTTCAGAGTTGACTGATGATTTGCTCTGGAAAGACCCAAAATGCTGCTCTGATGGTACAGACTCAAAAGGTGGCCGGTTCTTGATTTTTTTTCTGTTTAAATTTCTTTTTGGCTCATCTCTCTCCGATTCCCAGTCCAAACTCTGTTAGAATTTCACACAAATTGATGATCTTCAGCTGCCAAGGGCTCACTTTGCAGGCGCGGGGCTGCAAGGGCCGAGTTTCCCTACCCCACTCATTCAGCCTTTCTAAACAGCCATCCTGCGCCTTATCGCAGATTTGCTCTGGTCTTTTTGAGTTCAGCAAGGAAACGGTTGTTGCCTTTCCCCTCCCTCCCCTCATCAACTGCTCATGGTAAGATTTGTGATAGAGCCTGCATTGTGATATGTCCTTGAAGTGCAGTGCTGCAAGGTTTTGTTTTGCTTTGTCTTTTTTTTGCCTCTTCATGTTCAGGCTTCATTACAACGAGAGCAAAGCGAGATTGCTGCAGATGATGTTTTTGATACCTGGGGTTGGTTTCGGGGTTGTTTTCTTTTGCCATTTGTTAAAAATCTCATGTTTATTAACGAGGGAAAGCTCAGGGTCGGGTGCTAAAACCTCCAGCTAACCCTGGAGTGTAGAGCCTGCAGACACACGGGCTGGGGAAGGATTGTCCCAGCAAAAGAGGTATAAGAGGAATGTTGCGTTATCGGCAGCCCCTTTTTTATGAGGTCCCTGACAGTGAGAGGTTTTTGTTCACCCTGGCTAGAGCGAGGCTCTTAAAGGACAGAGTCCATTTCGGGTGCTTTCATTTCAAGTGAGTATCAAATCCTAAGTAACTGCAGCATATGGGGAAGAAAGGACCCAACCCCGTGAAACAAGAGGCTGTTAAGTTTAAAATGGGCTAATGGCTGAAGTTCTCTGTAATTTTTGTCTTTGTTCTTCACCCCCCCCCCCCCATTTTCATTGATGGGGA